TTCAGCCTCCTGATGAGTCGGTGAAACTCCGACGAAACAGTTTGTCACAGCCCCTCGTTTGTTGTCCTCTTCTCCCTCTCTGCCTACGGTTTACTGGGCAGTTCTATTTGACGATATATATGCTTGCATGTGGGACTTGTCATCTGGGATCTGTCTTGTTTCCCTCTGTTCTATTTGTTTCATTTGGCTGTTCCCTTACTTTCTTCTTTGCCTCTTTGCCTTTTGGTTGTGTGCAAGTGGGTCGATATGACACACGGGGGTGGGGGCAGCCGCCGCTCAACCTACATCCACGTGGGCGGCCTTGTACGCAAGAGGTTCTGAACAGGGGGAGTTGTAAGGAAGAAGATTAAAAACGAATTTAAGATTTTTCTTGTTTTTTTGGTTTTTTCGCTTAGGCGCTCTGATATCATGTGACAATATATATATATCTGTTTGACGATATATATTGGCGATATATATATTGTGACAAAATAAATATATATGACGATATATTATATATATATAATATATAGGCACGTGCCATAGTTTGTCTTTTTCAGATTCATCAGTGGTGCGGCGACGCGCTCTTTTTATGTTAAACATGTGTTAGGGCATACTCACACCAGCACTTTCCTAAATGAATCTGCCTGCATTTAGGGCCCGACGTTGCTGAATCTTACCGTAATCACGTCCAGAGCTCCGTACAAAAAGCCCTAGTGTGGGATTATTATGCCCTTAATTTCCTTTCCCGTGTCGCCGCGTCCTCGCCCGTCACCCCCTCTTCTGGACTTAAGTAATGTACCAAATGTAGGTATAGGCTTGGACGCTTGGAGGAAAAACTATTTCCGATCGAAAATGGAAAAAAAAAACAAACGAAAAACAAAAGAGGAAAACGTCTCCGAGACCAGTGAGTGCGCCGCGGGTGGCTCACAGTCTCCGATGCTTGCGTGCGTTGAAAGGAGTGGAATGATTCAATGAACGCTTGGAACAAAAAAATAAAAAATAAAAAAAAATGGAAAGCCATTGAACCCCCGACCCCGCAGAGTAGTTATGAAACCACCAATCCCTGTCCCAGTTCCATACCTCTGTCCCAGTTCCATACCGCTGTCCCAATTCCATACCACTGTCCCAGTTCCATATCGACTTTTGTCGTCATTGCCAGCAGACACAACGAAGGATGTGGCGGGCCACCCTTCTCTCTCTCTCTCTCTCTCTCTCTCTCTCTCTCTCTCGCTCGCTCGCTCGCTTGCTCGCTCACTCGCTCGCTTGCTCGCTCACAAGAACTAAGCAAAACTCTTCTCTGAAAGTCATCTTCGCTACCTGTGTACTAGTTCCATATCCCTCTGTTCCAGTTCCATATACCTGTGTCCCAGTTCCATATCCCTGTGTCCCAGTTCCATATCCAAGCCTGCAGGTTCGGTCGTAGGCTCGTGGGAGGCGGTATGTTACTGTGTATTACGCAAAAATAGTCCAGCTTCTGTCCGTAGATGGCCATGAGTCCTTCGGCGGAACATTGTTGCCGTTAAAATTAAAGAGAGAGAGAGAGAGAGAGAGAGAGAGAGAGAGAGAGAGAGAGAGAGAGAGAGAGAGAGAGGCTCCTGCGCATAGTTAAGGACGAATCGAAGAAAGTGGTCCAATTTCTTTGAGGGAGAAAGAGAAGAAACGGCGACGCTGGGATGCAGGCTTGGGACTGGGCGTAGCTGGTCTCAGATCCGCACCGTTCTGAGCTATCTTTCAATGAAATGAATCTGCACCGTTCCCCCCTCCGCCCCCCCCCCTATGGATACCCCTTCAGTCCTTTTTACCTAAGGTGAGCGATGGGGGTTTGATTCACTAGTAATGCCCTGAGTGATGGCGGATCGCAAGGAGAGGGTCCCCCTCGTCCAAACCCCGCGCGCGCGCACCTCAGCCATCTATCTATCTATCTATGGGTGTTTATTGAGTGGGTTTGGTTGTCAGAAGAGAACTACTGGCTGCCCGCACCTCAGCCATCTATCTATCTATCTATCTATCTATCTATTTATCTATCTATCTATCTATTTGTGAATGTGTGGAGTGTCTATCTATGAAGCTGTGTGAGTATCTATCGAGGAATCTGTGTGGAATTATCAATATATCTATCTATCCATTTGTCAAAACTGTTTATCTATCCATCTCTTTACCTATTTGTCCAGTGTCTATGGCTATGCAAGCCATGTGTGCATCAACTCGCTGTCTATCTCCATCCATCCGCCTATCCGTGTGTATTGTCGATCCATCCACTCACTTATCTCTCCCTCTATCTGTCCATGTCTATTGGTCTGGGTTCATCGAGTTATATCTATCCTTCTTAAGTGTCTATCTATTCATTCATCTGCCTACCCGCCTCGTCGTCAAACTATCTGCATATCTTCTCTCTGTCTCCGTTAATTTTCACAGTCAATCGACCTACCTATTTATTTACGCCCCTTGTCTATATCTATCTATCTATCTATCTGTGTGCGTATTTTTCAAGTCTCTTCGGCCTAGTCATCCATGTATGCATCATTGGTCTATTCATCCATCTATATCTCTCTCTCCAAGTGTCTACGTATCTATCCACTTGTCTGTCTACATACGGCCGTGGTCAAACTATCTACATACCTTGTTTCTATCCTCTTCGTTCGTTTTCACTATCTATTTATCTGTCTATCGATCTACCTACCTGTTTATCTATAT